AAATACCCATTGGCCTTTATTAATTAACCCATCAAGGCTTCATCCAAGCCCAAGACCATATCCTTTGGTCCAACATTCCTTAAGCCCAAACCAATTAATCTAAATAAATAAAATAATTAAATAAATACTTAAATTAAAATACGAATTACATAAAACACATAAACAAATAAGAATTTACAACTAAGTCACATCATATCAATACGCCACAATTCAATCAATAATTAAATACACACACATCAATCATCATATCAATTCAATAAATATATAATCACAAAATAAAATTTAACTAAAATGAGACAATTAATCTAAACACTCAATTAAATAAAATAAATCATTTAAAAATAAAATAAAATTCATTAATCCCAATTAATAAATCTTTTAAATTATCGGGGTATTACACTTACTCCTTATCTCCTCTTTACCAAATGAAGGAGATTTGTTCCATCCTTCATATCATCCCTCCATACATCTTCCTTTCTTCCTACTTAACAGAGCATACAAGTTCTTAAACTCTCAATCCTTGTCTTTCTTTTGTTCGGCTTTCTGTGTTATCTCATACCATTGTGAGAGTATAATTTGTATGTTGGAAATTTTCATGAGCAAGAGGTTGTATGTGTATGTGTATGTTAGACGCCACATAGGCGACACATGCACGTTGAGTATGATGCTGCATGGTGTCTGCATGGCAAGTGTATGGAGTATGTATCTAGAGGCTTCTGGAGGTGTGTGAGTACTCTAGAATAGTGTAGTAATGTATAGATTGTTGTAGTAGTGTATAGAAGTGTTAAGAAGTTGGGAGAGAATTATAGAGAGATGATCTCCACTGTAATGCATTCTAGCTAGGGCTGCAACTCGGGCGAGTTTGAGGTATGACTTGAGTCCAACCCACCATATGAATTGCTAAACCCAAGTCCAACCCTAACCGTATCCTCAACCTTAATTACTCAACCCGAGCCCAACCCATCTTTTTACTTTTAAACTCGGGCTTAGAATTCGGGATTAAAATTTCGGGTTACTCATATAGCTAATTTTTATACCGAAAATTTAATATGATATTGAATTAGTTTTAGATTAAACTTTTTGTAGATTTTTAATAAATTACAAACAAATTTTAAGAAAATTAATTCTCCTAAATGTTAACATACAATAAGTTAAGATTTAACAAAAAAAATTTGAAAAGAAAAAAAATAATCATAGTTTAAATATTATATATAATGTATTTAAAAGTAAAAATGTATATGAAAATAATATTAGAAATCGGGTTTGGTTTAGCTCGGGTTGCTAGCATTTAACCCAAAGCCCAACCCTAATTAAGTTTCGGGTTGAGATTTTTCAACCCAAGGCCAACCCTAATTGTAAAAATGATTGTCCAAATCCGTAAAAAGTCGGGCTGGGTTCAGGTTACCCAACCCAAGTTGCACTTCTAATCCTAGCCATTCGTTAGGGAGGGGATGTTTATAAATTAGGGGTGCAACTTCGGCAACCTGAGCCCAGTGGGGATAGCCCAACCTGTTTGCTAAAAGAATAGAATAATCCAAACCCAGGACAAGACTTAGGATATCGAAGAATATGATATACTGCATCCATATGAGTTGTACAAGGAGCATACATAAACCGGCTCACAACACTAACCGCAAAAGCCAAATCAGGAAGGGTGTTGGTAAGATAAATCAATCTTCCTACCAAACGCTGATACTGCGAGGGATCAGAAAGGAGATCTCCGGATTCAACCGAGATCTCCACATTAGGATCCATAGGAGTGGAAGTAGGTTTACACCCAAGCATACTTGTGTCTCGAATAAGATCCAAGACATACTTCCTTTGCGATAAAGAGATGCATTGCTTAAATCTAGCAACCTCAATTCCCAAGAAATATCTAAGCTGCCCAAGCTCTTTCACATCAAAAGCTTTAGCCAATTGAAGCTTTAGTTGAGCAATCCCAGGGATGTCATTGCCAGTAATGATGATATCATTAACATAGACAAGAAAAATGATACATCAACTAGTGGAAGAACAGTGGATAAAACATATATGGTCAGAATGGCATCTAACAAACTCCATGGATAGAATTACATCACTAAAGCGGTTGAACCAAGCTCTGTGAGACTGTTTTAATCCATACAAAGACTTTGCAATCGATAGACCTTTCAAGCATACTCCCCCTCAACCTGAAAATCGGGTGGCTGATCCATGTAAAATCATAAATAGTCTTAAGCTACGTCACATAAAGCGGGAGCAAGAGCGAGAGCGAAAGCGAATTCGAGAATGGGAGTGGCTAAATTAAGTTATAAATAGGGAGAATTTGAGTCAAAACGTGCGCAGAGCATAAGAACGGGAGTGCGCTCGGAGCGTGAGAGCAACACCCGTTGAGAAGGATTATGTGACTTAGGTCTTAAGAAGATCACTGTTAAGGAAAACATTCTTCACATCAAGGCTGATGAAGAGGCCAATTGTGAGAGGTAGTCAGGGAGACAAGCAAATGAACTAGGTTAATTTAGTCACTAGAGTGAAGGTATTATTAAACTCTTTACCAGGAATCTGAGTAAACCCTTTGGCCACCAAACAGGCCTTATATCGATTAATAGAGCCATCACCCAGATATTTAACACTGAATACCCATTTGCAACCAACAGTCTTTTCACCAGGAGGGAGGGATACAAGCTCACATGTTTCATTATGCTGCAAAGCATCTATTTCTACCTTCATAGCAGATATCCAATTGGAATTCTGGAGAGCCATAGACACATTTCTGGGAATGAAAATGGAATTAAGTTTGCCTAGAAAGGCTCGGTAAGATCCTAAAAGACCATCAGAAGAGATATACTGCGAAATAGGATGATTAGTACTACAAGCGAATCCAAATCGAGCAGGGGGTTTGTGGTCCCGAGTGGGATACCGAGACTCAGGAACAAGGTTAGGGCAATGTAAAGGAGAGGGAGATGTACTTGAACCTGAATTTGAGGACGATGCAAGCAGTGGAGGCGGAGCACGAGGGCAACGAGAATAAACTTGCAAAGGGGGTGAGGAAACCATAAGAGAAGACTTTTCTTGAAAAATAGGAAGAGGACGGGCAAGAGGAGAAGCCTCTTGATCGAGAGTAGAAGTTTCTTGCCAGATAGTGTTAGAACTATAAAAAGGGTTATGCTCATGAAATTTGATATCAAGAGAGTGATACATGTGTTTGTGTACTGGATCATAACACTGGTAACCTTTTGACATGGAAGAGTATCCTAAAAAGATACATTTAATGGCCTTGTCATTAAGTTTAGTATGAGAAGGGTTACGATTCTAAACAAAACATGTACATCTAAACACCCGAGGCATGATGGAAAAAAGAGTAATATCAAGCTGAAGCGCTTATAAGTGGGCCTTACCATTTAAGACTCTACTATGGGTACAATTAATGAGAAAAGTAGCTGTAAGAACCGCCATGTGCTAGTATAACTCTGGCACATTCATTCCACTTAAAAAACATCGAATAACTGACATTTGTTGGCAGTTTTTAGCTTTACCACACCATTCTGTTTAGGGGTATATGGGCAGGTAAGTTGATGAAGAATACCCTATTGGTTAAGTTGAGACCGAAATTCAATCAAAACATATTCACGACCACCTAATATTCCTAACAACAGTTTTATATTGAGTTTTGATCATTTGGAGGAATTGAGTGAACAAGGGAAAAACTTCAGATTTCTTTTTAAGTAATTTATCCATGTACTTATATAAAAAAAAAAGTAAATATATCCATGTGCAGCGGGAATAATAACGATGCCCCGAAAAAGCAGCAACAGGAGAAGGACCCCACGCATCAGAATGTATGAGATCAAACATACTAGGTGCACGATGCATATGAGAAATATAACTGGTTCTAGTATGTTTAGAAAGCTCACAAATCTCACATTGAAACTTAGTATCCTTACAAGCCGTTATTAATGAAAGGAAAACCAGTCATGTGATCATTGGCCTCGGAATCCAGAACCTAAGTAGGTTTTCCCGCTTTAATATAAAAAGCAGAAGGAGTACTTGTAGCTATAGTAGCCATGGGAGAAAAAGAGCTAGCCCTGGTAGATAAAGCTTTGAATTGCTCCTGAAGCTGACTAATTTGGGACTGTAACTGATTGAAGTTCTGAAAAGATGGTCTGGGAGGAGTTGAAGCAGGGGGGACAACAATTTGTGGAGTAGTATTGCCGACTGCGGCAGTACGGCCACAGCCCGAAGAAAAAGTGCCTTTTTGGCTACCAGAATCACTCATAGTACCAAAATAAGGTTGGTCCACACGTCAAAGAGGGAGGAAAGAGAAAAACAAGGCCGAAAAAATCGGTGTTTTCCTCTAAATATGTTGCCGAACAAACACCGGCAGCCTACAAAGGGAAAAAAACCACCCGAAGAACCCTTAGGTCATAAACAAACCTAAGGGAATTCTCCTAAAAAAGGAGTCAAAAACAGAGGGTTAGCCCTCTGTTGTGTGCGCAAGCCCCTGTTGTGGTTGTCGCACCAAAAGAGAGAGAGTGAGGGGTCCGACGCAAGGGCTGGGAGGAGATGGAGGTGCGCCGGAGGTGAGGGAAATCAAAGAGAGGGAGAGAGAAGGTGGCGGCATTGGGGAGGGAAGATGAGGAGGCCTTTTGTTTTAGCTCTGATACCAAAAAGAAATTGTTTTGGGTTTTGGCTTATTCAAACCGAGAGCCAAGAGCTATATTCATATACAAGAATAGGGTACAAAGAAAAGAAACCAAATCAAAGAAAAATATAAAATATACCAAAATTTACGTGATCCCATAATTACGGGAATTTTATTTACGTGATCCCATGATTACGGGATCTTTTCTATGTGATCACGTGATTATAAGGATCTTATATAAAATACCTAATAGAAGGCCAAAAACATCTAGTAAAAATAAAAAAAATAATAATAAAGATATTTCAACACGTTTTATTTGCGTAAAATTAGGTGAGGAGAATTTTTGTTAGGTTGTGATTTAGTGCTCATGGTTTTACCCTTGTGAATCATAACATCATTTTTTATTTTTATGTTTTGTGTGGAGAAGTTGCTTTGATAGCAGGAATATCTTTGATGCAACTACAAGTTGTTTGAGATCCATCATGAACAAGGATGTCCTTCTGCCTTTTGAGGTTGGACAAGTGGCTGAATCAAGATCATTTCAGTCAGGGTATCGTGGTGCGTGGTTCCGATGCAAGGTAATCTTCAATGCAACTACGATAATATATTTAGATTATATTCTTAATTCTTCTGGTGCTGACTTCTGAGATGTTTAATCTTACATTGAATTTGGCTATATTTATCATAGAATAATGTTGGCTGTACTTAAATGCTATTGAGGTATACTTGAATGACAAGATAAGGGATGAACGATTTGTTATGGTAGAATCCATAGCTTTTTTAGTGCTTTGAATTTTTTCTTAGTACAACATTATACGTTTATTTACAGTAAAACATATAGTTCGAATGTCAGAATATCTTCGGATCATTATTGAAATATGCTTTAATCTCCATTTTATATCTGGAGTTGCTTGGTTTTCTGGTGATTTAGTAGCATCATCCACTTAATTAGGCTGTGAAATTTTAATATTTCATCACATGTACCGGTACATCTGAAAGTAAGTAACGAAGTCCATGCCCCTGAAATCCAGCGCCCGACTCCCAGAAAAGTTTTTGAATTTGAGTGATACGAGAGATCATGTTTGTCCAGTTCAGTCCCCTTTTTGTTTTTTAACTATTTTTTTTTTGAGGCTCTGGATCATTCAGGATAGGATTTTTTACTTTCGATCCGCTCCTTGGTTCACATGATTAATCTACACTAAATTTGCTGCTTCTCTCTAAGTGCTTCATGTGCGTGGAAGCTTAGAGATTGATGATAGTCTGACCAAGATAAATGCAAAATCTGATGTTGAACATTGGCTGGATAGAAATGATTGATCTTGCTACATTTGCTTTGCTGTTGAGGATCTCCTTTTTCCTTTAAATGAGATCTCAAAGCAGGCTACTTTTGATGGAATGGTGGTCTCAAGGTACTAGGGGGTATGAACTGTCATCATGGCCTCCGAGAGATTTAAAAGGTGAAATGTTTGACGAGGCACCTGGCTTGCAGTTCTCATATCTCCGCACTCGGGCTCTATGTATACTAGATAAGAAAAAGGAGACGATAGAAAGTGGAAGACGCTGTTCTTAACCTTGATGGATTCTCTCTCTTGGATTGTTATTTGTTACTCAGAGTAGTATACAAATTAAATAATCCCTCATTTACCGGGAAAAAAAAATGATACTCTTTGTTGTAAATAATGAAATAGAAGTGTAGAGAGAAATGAAAGAAGACGAACACGTATATTACGTGGTTCTGCCACTAGGGCCTAATAGCACAAAGAGACTAAAGGTCTATATCACTTTTATAATTTGTTGATTAGCACTTCATCTGAGAGAAAATCATCGCTAGTCAGATTTGCACTCCATTTGTCACAAGCTCTCAATAACAAGATTGTTTTTGAGAATGCATTGTCCAAGTTGGGTGTTTCAAATATCCACGCACCAACTTGAGGGGGAGTGTTAGCAAATATGATAGCCATGATTTATGTAATGACTTACCGTATTAATAGAGATTTGATTGTGCTATAGAATATGTCATAGAATATGTTATGATTTGATTTAATTTCTTTTCTTGTAATAGGAGCATGTACTTTTTTTATTTGTAAATACTAGAGTTGTGAATGAGTGATTTATCGCATTCAAGTCTTTTTATATTTCTACTTGTTAGCAAATATGATAGCCACGATTTATGGAATGACTTACCGTATTAACAGAGATTTGATTATGCTATAGAATATGCCATATAATATGCTGTGATTTGATTGACTTACCGTATTAACAGAGATTTGATTATGCTATAGAATATGCTGCGATTTGATTTAATTTCCTTTCTTGTAATATGAGCATGTACTCTTTTTATCTATAAATACTAGAGATGTGAATGCGTGATTTATCTTATTCAAGTCTTTATACAATTCTCTCATTTCTCTTCTTTTTATATTTCTACTTGGTATAAGAGCCTAATTTCTCTTCCTAAGTTCGGACCTCTATTTTGGGGTATTCCCTTAGCATTTGAAATGTTGCTAAGGGTTTTCTCGTGCTATTTGTGACTTGTTTGGGCTGCCATTGTGTTCGGTAGCATTGTTCTTTGCCTTTGTCGTGTCTCCGACAGTTTTTATTGACTTGTTTGCTGTGTCTCCGGCAGTTGTTTGTTGAATTGTTTGGACTGCCGATGTGTTCGGTAGCATTGCTCTTCACGTTCTATTTTCATCATTCACACTTGTTGCTAATCGTCATCTCAATGGCAAGTTGGGCATTCATGCTCCAACTTGATGGGGAGTATTGAAGATTTGATGGAGGAATGACTGGAGGAAAATCTTCTAGTAATTTATGTTGTTTCCTATTATTGAAGATTTATTGTTACTATATGAATGAGTGGAGAAAAATTCTCCTTGTTTCCTATTTTATATTTCTTTCCATTCTCATCAGTTATTCTCCTATATAAAGGAGCCTCCACTATTGTAGTGCGTATGAGTTGAGAGAGCATTATAATTAACAGTGTCTCCTCAGACCATAAACAACCAATCATGTCTCCTTAGACCGTAAACAACCAATAATGTCTCCTCACACCATTTCCCTTCATACACATGTTTAAAACATGTAGATGGAAGAATCAACAATGTCTCCTCAGACCATTCCCCTTCATACATATGTTTAAACTATAATCAGACCATAAAAAGAAACAATTATGTCTCCTCAGACCATTTCTGAATAGGTAGTGCCAAACTAACAATGCCCTCATTGAGGTCGGACCAATCTGCCCACCCGACACCTTCCGGATGGGCGATGTCACCTTAGACCATTCTCGAATGGGTGGTGCCGGACTCGCAATGCCGTCATTGCAGTCGGACCACCCTAGCTCTGATACATATATTACGTGGTTCAGCCACTAGGGCCTAACGGCACAAAGAGCTTGAAGGACTACATCACTTTTATAATGCTCTCTCAAATTATACACAAAACAATAGTGGATGCTTCTTTATTTAGGAGAATAAATGATGAGAATGGAAAGAAATATTAAAAAGGAAACAAGGAGGATTTTTCTCCATTGATTCATCAAGTAACAGTAAATCTTTAATAATAGGAAACAACATAAATTACTAGAATATTTTCCTCCACCGATTCCTCCATAAAATCTTTAATACTCTCTCATATTCTGGTTTTGATCACTCAGATTAGCAAGCAAACGTGGATATGTTTTTGCTAATTTGCTGCAAAATCCAATCTGTGCATTTCCTACCTTAACATTTTTTGAAACTAATACCTTGTGAATGTTGCTGAACAACCAGGATGTCGGAAGATATAAAAGTTGATGAGAGAAATTAAAACATGAAGAAAACACGAATATAATGTGGTTCAAGACTTACATCTACGGCACACAAAGCCTAAAGGGCTACATCTCTTTCATTACATTCTCTCTTAATTTTGTTTACAATAACCACCTCTATTTATAGGTGAACTGGGGAAGACTTGTAGCTAGAGAATAGAAATTTCTTGCTCTACAAGTATTTTGTAATAAAGGAATTATACAGAAAGTCAAATAGAAATATGGTAACAACTTTTTGCCCAATATAACAACTTTAACATTTTGTCAACGCTTAAATCACTCCTATAATTATTCTCCAACACACCCCCTCAAGTTGTACAAGGAGATTTAACTCAAGTGTCCAACTTGAAACTAAATATGAAGTTGTCGAGATTTGAGACGAGACGAGTTGATCCGGAGATCCGAGACAAGTTGATCCAAAGATCCGAGACGAGTAGCATATAGAGCAGGGTATGATAAACCTGCTATGATACTATCTTGTAAACAATGAAATAGAAGTGAAGAGAGAAATGAAACAATAACACATATATTACGTGGTTCAGCCACTAGGCCTTACGTCCATGGCATAAAGAGCCCAAAGGGCTACATCGTTTTTATAATGCTCTCTCAACTCATATACAATACACTAGTGGAGGCTCCTTCGTATAGGAGAATAAATGATGAGAATACAAAGAGATATAAAATAGGAAACTAGGAGGATTTTTCTCCATCGATTCATTTAGTAACAATAAATCTTCATGTTCGATAATAGGAAACAATATAAATTACTAGAAGATTTTTCTCTACTGATTCCTCCATCAAATCTTCAATACTCCCCCTCAAGTTGGAGCATGAAAGCCCAACTTGCCATTAAGATGACGAGTAGCAACAAGTGTGAATGATGAAAAGAGAACGCGAAGAGCAATGGTACCGAACAATTCAACAAACAACTACTGGAGACACGACAAAGGCGAAGACAATGCTACTGAATACACCGACAGCCGAAACAAGTCAATAAAAATGCAAGAGACACGGGAAAGGCGAAGACAATGCTACCGAACACATCGGTAGCCCAAACAAGTCAATAAAAACTGCTGGAGACATGGCAAAGGTGAAGAACAATGCTACCGAACACAATGGCAGCCCAAACAAGTCACGAATAGTACGAGAAACCCTTAGCAACATTTCAAATGCTAAAGGAATACACCAAAATAGAGGTCCGAATTTAGGAAGGAGAAATTAGGCCCTGATACCATGTTAGAAGATATAAAAGTTGAAGAGAGAAATTAGAACATGAAAAAAAAAAGAATATAACATGGTTCAGGGCTTACATCCACGACACACAAAGCCCAAAGGGCTACATCTCTTTCATTACATTCTCTCTTAATTTTGTTTACAATAACCACCTCTATTTATAGGTGAATTGGGGAAGACTTGTAGCTAGAGAACAAAAATTTCTTGCTCTATAAGTATTTTGTAATAAAGGAATTACACAGAAAGTCAAATACAAATATGGCAACAACTTGTTGCCCAATAACATTCTGTCAACGCTTAAATCATTCATATAATTATTCTCCAACATAGGGAAATGGTACTCTATAAATATTGTCCTAAATTCTTTAAGTTGTCTATCCTCTATAGCAAAGTCAGAGAATAACTCAACATAGCTTGCTGGATAACTCTTTTCCTAACTGTATCTTCAATCTAACATAGCCATTTTCCTAACGAGTGTTCTTCACGTTTACTGGTGGAAGCATCTCTTGGATTCCTTCCATTCTTCCCTTACAAGCGCTTTCTTAATAACCAAATGATAACTAAGCTAATATTTTCTTCTATTGAGAAGGGAGTTCCCAAGACTTTTTAGGATTGCTGTGGATAGAAATACTTTGGTAGCAGACTGTTTTCGGCTTGATAGCAGTAGGCTTACTTCGGATGTGCGATTTCAGCGATCCTTTCAGGATTAGGAGCTCAACAATGTTTCTCGCTAGCTGTGGACCTTTTGTAGAGACGGGAGGTGGATGGTATAGGTTCAGATTCCTTGATTTGGGGGCCTTCTTCTCATGGGAGGTTTCAAGTCCGTTCCTTGTTCCTCTGCCTCTCCGGGTTTCTTGGTTCCAACTTCTCGTGGAAAACGGTTCATCGCCCGAAGGCTCGTCACAGGGTGGCCTTTTTTGGATTGCAGTTTGGGGCAAGATTCTGACCTTGGAGAATATGAGAAAGGGAAGACAAATAACAGTGAATTGGTGTTGTCTGTGTAAAAATGATGGAGAGTCCGTGGATCACCTTCTTTTGCATTACCCGGTGACTCATGATTGCTGGAGTCTTATTTTTGGTCTGTTTGGTGTTCAACGTTCATTGTGTTATGCCTAGGTCCTCAAGGGATTTGATAGACGTTTGGAGGGCTACAGTGTGGGGGCACACGCTCATGATTTTTGGAGGGCGACCCCCTCTATGTTTAGTGGTGTATTTGGAAAGAGAGGAATAAACGATCTTTTGATAGGAATCCTCCATTGGTATGCTGAAATTTTCTGTTATTAGTTCTCTTTTTAGTTGGGTGATGGGGAGAAATTGTATATCTTTAGATGAAATTGTGATTTTTTTGGGTTCTATGGGTCATTGGACTGGCTTCGGCCCTTGCATAGCTTTTGGGATGCTTTCCCCTTTTGAACACTTTAAATTTTTTTTTTTTTTGTTACATTAAAGTGATTGTGTTTTTGTTTTATGGAAATCAAAACTACTTGTAACATTTCGATCATTTTTTTTCTTTCATTTCTTTCTCAATTTTCTCTACACATAATAAATGATATCAATTTGGAGTAACTTGATCTTTTTCCTTTAAGGGAGGTTATCTTGATAAGATAATTCTTTTACATTTACATCTATATTTTCCATTAGATAAAAGAGATTGGCTGGAGACAAGGGCATATTGGGCATGCCTTGGAATTTGTTGATTTCCCCGATGAAAGTAAGTAAGATCTTTGTATGACTTCTTTAAAGGTTCAGGTTATTGCTTTTGAATATATGATGTTTCTTCTTTTAGGTCATGTTATTTTTTTTTTAACATTTCAAAACTAGTACTTTGATCTTTTTCAACCTGCCATGTTTAATATTTTTCCACGTGAACTTTTTTATTCTAGTCATGAACGTGCTGGAATAAAATTGTAATGCAACATTTGAATGCTACGTCATATTTTTCAAAGTAGAATTAATTTACTTACCAAGTCTTAGGGTACATGGGCATGGGCATACAAGTTAATATCAACACGATTATATGCGGAGAGGATCATGATCTGAGATCAAGCGTCCTTTGGCTTGCGATTCTCATAATAATAAATAAAGAAAAAACATGTCAAACATTTTGCAAAAATTATCAAATTCAAAATCCATGGGCGATAGCGAGTTGATTGGTTCCAGTGAGAATTGGCTCTTTAATGAGTTCCCACATCTGTTCAGCAAAAGAATTTTTTTGTCGAATAGTTGTTATGCCAACTATTCTATATGGTTCGGAGTGTTGTGCATTTAAATGGAGGAACAACAAATTCATGAAGCAGAAATGAGGATGTTAACACAGGATGACTAGAAAAGATAGGGTTAGTAATCAAAATGTGTTGGAGAAATTAGGAGTGACGCCTATTACTAATAAGAAGTAGACTTAAGTGGTATTGGCATATCCAAAGAAGATCTATAGATGCTCCGGTAAGAAGATGGAGACTAATTTGCATAGAAGGTCAGAGACAAAGAGGACGACCAAAGTTAACATGGGATGAAATCATTAGAAATGAATTAAAAAAGTTATATATTATAGGAGAGATGACTTGCAATGGAACAAAACCAAGAAGAAAGGAACTTATGTGGCCGGCCCTATTCATATGGTTGTAAGGCAAGGATGATAATGATGATGATTTCGCTAACTTATGCTGCCGACCCTATTCATATGGGAGTATGGCAAGGATGATAATGATGATGATTTGGCTCCAGATAAAACCTACCTTCTGGTCTCTATCATTCTCCAGCTTGAAAGGCCTCCATGTGCTCCTCTCCTTCACGATAGTAGATGAAATAAAAGTTGTGGATCTATGCTGAAAATGCGAAAGAAATTTTGTAGGCTTTATGAATGGGAATGGTTTATTGTTGGACAAGCTTTGACGCTTTTTGATTGCTGGTAATTAAGGTCAAAATGCTGTTAGAATTGCTGCACAACCTCCTTTATGCGGGTATTAAGTGTTAGGGAAGGTTATGCAGTTAGGCTTTCGGATTTGATATACGAAGAAATTGGTGGCTATTCCAGGGCTGCAAATTTTAGCCTGTGAACAGCAATCTTGGCTGGTTTGTGTTGTTTTGTGTCGTTGATTTGTTGAAAAAAGAGGGATTAATGCTAGTAAAATAGGATTTTTAATTATAGAAAGGAGATTGACAAGTGTCAAGGTATAGTTATGGATTATAGAAACAGAAGCATTATGTGCATAGTCTTGTAGGAATAATAGGTTGAGAAACCCAAGCCCAGGACCGGAGCGGACCAAACCAGACCGAACAGCTGGGTCGGGTCGTGCCCTCACACTTGTGTGTGTTTGATTGGGTTGGAAAAAACTTGGGTAGGTTCCTCCCCATTCCACAAAATTGCGGTGCCCTTTGGGGCCACACCTAGGATTGTATTTGTTATCACATCACCATAAAGAGCCTCAAGAGGTATTTTAAAATTCTCTAAACTTGTTCTCCCTTTAATTGAAAGCATTACACAGTTATATTGAAACCTTCAAGTGTCATTTATTTTTCTTTCTTTCTGATGAAACCATCCTCCTCCTCTACTTCACTGAAGAACTTCATATGATGATTGAAGACGGGCTCCTTGAAGATGAAGACAAAGGGAGGGATAAAACTCACCCAAATATAGTGATACAGAGGATAAGAGTTCTTCCACTAAGATGCTTGATGCAGCCAAGCCAAGGAGGCCAGTCGGCTCCCTCCCAATCTGGATGAAGATTCATGGTTTGAGTTATCAAAAAATGAAGCCCTTAAGGGATGTTTGGCCCAGTTTACTTCGACTATAGAGAGAGAGAGAGAGAGAGAGAGAGAGAGAGAGAGAGAGAGAGAGAGAGAAAAAAGAAGGAAAGTGAGATGTACTGTAAAGAGGGATGAGGGTTTTAAATGACAAGTCATTGTGTCTTCTTTTGAAGTGGCTGCTTCTGCGTGTTTTGACAATTTGAAAACTGTAACTCCAAAACTCTCAAAACACCTTGTACTAATTTTCTAAAAATCCATATTTTTGTCACTTAATTTTCTAAAAACAAAATTTCAGAGGTTCATAGCAAGGGCCAGAAGCTGACTGGGCTTATCCATTCATGAAAAAGGGGAAAGCTACAATCCAAATTTTCGATTAAAAGAGCTTTTTCGCTTAATCAGTTACTGTTCTGCATCATTCCCCTCTACTTCAGAAGAACTCTTCCTCGAGGATGATATTCGAATAAGTCTGCCCCATTAAGGTATTAGAAATTGTCTTGTTCTCGGGAAGCTTTACCACGTAAGCGTTGTCATTTATCTTTTGCTTAATGCGAAGTGGTCCATACATCTTGCTTGTCAACTTGCCATACATTCCAGCAGGAAATCTGGTTTTGCACAAGTGTACCATCACGAGATCTGTCGCTTAATTTTTAAAAAAAATTTCAAAAACTTTTCCTATCAGTTTCAAAGGAGTTTTCTGAATTTTTGTCGCTAGATTGAAGTGTTTTTTTTTTTTGATAAGTAAAAATAACATTAAAAAAAGGCGTTCAAGAGGGGAACGCTTCCCAATTACAAAAGTGGAACCGGAACTAAGCCCCCAAAGAATCCAAAAAAGTAATTAAATCATATGAAGAAGAACAAAAGCTCCTCTCACATAATTGAAGAGAGAACGAAGAATGTAAAGTTTGACTGTTTCCGTAGGCGACTCTTTTCCTTCGAACATTCTGCTGTTTCTCTCCTTCCAAATGCACCACCATACGCAATGTGGTACAATTCTCCAGAAATCGCGAACGTCTCTTCTCACTCGACAATCTCTCTAAACATGAATCAATTCCTTAGTAGATCGTGGCATAACCCAACACATGCCAAACAACCCAACAATAAGATTCCAACAATCGCCACAGGGCAATGCAAAAGGAGGTGATTAACGGACTCCTCATCATCCTTGCATAGACAACTGCGATTAACTATACAATTGCCCCTTTTTCTCAAATTATCAATTGTCAGAATCTTTCCCCACACAGCAGTCCAAACAAAGAAAGCCACCCTAGTTGGAGCCATAGACCACCAAATAGTTTTCCACGGGAAGTATTGATTAACAAAATTTGACAAACATAAGAACAAAGATCTAACTTCGAAACGACCATGAGAAGAGGGAACCCAACTTAAAACATCATTACCTCTGCCAACGCCCTCCTGTCGATACAGAAGATCCAAAAAAACACATACTTCGTCCATCTCCCAATTCTGAAAAGAGCGCCGAAAATGCACATCCCATATAATCCCGCTGCTATCAAGCTGATAGCAGTCGACTATGTAGGCGTGTTTATTAACAGCAATACTATATAATCTTGGAAAAGTACGAGAAAGTGACTGATCCCCACACCAGAGATCTTCCCAAAACCGAATGCAACGTTCGTCATGGAGTTTGAATCTGATATGAGCCGAAAAAACATCCCATCCCTTCCGAATAGCCTTCCACATCCCTACTCCTCCCACTAGGGTAACCGGACGCGTAGACCAACCTCCAGCCTCTTCGCTAAACCGACAAGAGACTAACCTGCGCCATGGTCGATGTCTTTCCCTCCCATATCTCCATAACCACTTACCCAAGAGAGCTTGATTGAAAGGAACTAAACGTCTTATACCAAGTCCACCCAATTTCACAGGCTTACAAACTTCCTCCCATCTGACAAGGTGGTACTTGAACTCATCGCCCTTACCACCCCAAAGGAAATTCCTTTGAATTTTTTCAATCCTGTCTGCAATGGAACAAGGGATTTGGAACATAGAAAGAAAATAAGTGGGGAGGCTCGACAAGGTGCTCTTGATAAGAGTAACTTTACCCCCTTTTGACAAGTATTGCTTCTTCCAACTTGCTAATCTCTTCGTATACCTGTCAATCACAGAATCCCAACTCCCCACTAAACTTGAAGAGACCCCTAGGGGCAAACCCAAATAAGGAATAGGGAATGAGCTCACCCTGCATCCAAGGACTGCAGCCAAAGAGGAAATATCCGAAACATTCCCTACTGGGACAAGCACACTCTTTGCCACATTGACCTTTAGCCCGGAAACTGCCTGAAAACAAGTCAGAACACACCTCAAGTGTCGAAGTTGAGACACATCAGCATCACAGAAAACCAGGGTGTCATCTGCAAAGAGTAAATGGGAAATCTCCATCTGATGGTCTAAATCTCTACCCACTCTGAAACCCAAGTTGAAGTGTTCCTATGAGGAGTTGTTAATGGTTTTCAATAATATGATGGTTATTATATAATTACTTGAAACTTATTGGGTTATAAAACAATTTTATATTAAACAACCAGATATCTATGCATATATTTAGTTCAAAGGTTCAAATACTTGCATATTTATGTTTCTTTGTTTTCTCCTCTTTCCCCTGGCAAAGCACAATATTTTTTTCATTATTAGGTTGATAAAAAATAATATTACTCTTAATTTCTTAATGTACAACATCATGTGTGTATATATATATATATATATATATATATATATAAATATATAAAAATTTATTAATCACCATGTCCCCGTTGTATCCGTATCCAAATTGTTTAGGATTTGCCGTGTCGCCGTGTCCGTGTCGCATCGTATCTGTGCTAGTGCTTATATAGGTAACTAAGTAGTCTAGAATCTGGATAGGGTCGGTCTTGTGGTTATAAGGGCAAGTAGGTAGCTTCACCTCATAACTTGAGCTTTTGGGTTGAATGGCAGCGCCTAGCCCAT